AAATTATAATATATTTAATTTTTATAGATATTATATATAATTTTTTAGATATTTTTACAACAAAAAGTGTAATTTTACAAAAATTATCGAATTATAAAGATTAAAAATATTCAAGTAAGTTTCATTTAGAATATCTAAATTTAAAATATCTAATTTATAAGAAAATTTGTAAAAATTGTTAAAGTTAAGTTAATATCAAAAAAATTGCAAATTATAGAATTTTATTATAGGAATTTTATCTACACCTTTTCATTTTTATAAAAAAGTTAAATACAAAATTTCTAAATTTTTATCGAATTAAACATAAATCGTTATAAATAAATACAATTTATTGAATTCTAATTTTGATATAAATAACAATGTTATAAAGTTAAAAATAAATGTATCATTTTAAAAAATCAAAATAATTCATCTTCACATTTTTAAAAAAAAATATTTTTTTTAAATTTAAAAATTGCAATTTGTAGCTGATTGAAAATTGATTAATTCTTATTACAAATCTTTTTTTTTGTTCTTAGATTGTAGAAAGTATCTGAGAAATCATGCGTTAAATATTGTAAAAAGATTTCAAATTCAGATACAATGAACATTAATTATTTTTTTCTATTGCTTATATATCACAAATTTTCTAACTATTTTCTATTCTATAAAATAGAAATGCTAAATCATACATAATCCACCAATCAATATCGTTCATATACATATACAATTCAAGTTGAACAGACAAGCAGTTTGATTTAATCAAATGAAAAAAATTTATTGACTGTGGATTCTCAGTAATTAAGATTTTTATGCATCTTATATGATTTGATTTTTATGATTTTACACTCAATTTAATTAAAATTAATTTTAGTTTACATAAAAGGTTTTATTAACAAATTTACAAGTCATTTAAACGAATAATGCAATATTTCGTAAAGAAAAAAATTTATGAAAAAAATGATGTTCAGTTAATTACATTAACTATAATACATAAACACACATATCTATAATTACATACATCGATACGATTTTGATTGTATTAATTTATAGTTTTATTTACGAATATAACGAATCATTGAATTCATTTCAACTACAATGCTATGGAAAAAATATAATCATTTAAAAAAATTATTTTGATTTTAAATCTCCCATATTATTTCATCTATATATAAAATCATTTATATCACATAATATGCCTTTATATTAAATAATTTTTGTAAAAAATTTTTTTAATAAATTCATTTTGATTAATTTGAAATACATTTGAAATATTATATAATTAATATATAATTAATAATATAATATTATATATAATAAATAATATAATATATAATAAATATATATAATATATAATTAATATAATATAAGGTAAAGCAATTTAATTAGTATATATCTTATCGAATTATTAAAAATAATACTTTTTATGAAAAATTTTATTTTTAATTTTTTTTATGAAAATATATTAACAATAATTATTAACATACCTTGGTATTGGTGATGTCATATTGAATCCAGTTTAAGTTAATCTTAATCTGTTTAATATCACTTTAAAAATTCATTTCACTATTTTAATCACTATTTTAATTTTAATAAAAATTAAAACAATTTTTTTGACAACATTTATTATTTCTCTACATTTTATTATTTCTGGTTTATAGTTTTTTCATCACATTTCCATCACACTTATCTTGTCATAAAATATTACTTAAATAAATATGTTCAATAAAAATTATTAAAACACTAAAGTCTTATTTACCATTCTAAGTCACTTAAAATATAATCTTCCGATAGTAGATGCACAGATTCTACGTCACGTCTGCTAACGAGCATGAGAATAACAAGTTCTGAGAATTGGCTCTTTAATAAAAAAAAAAAATAATTAGCTTAAATAAAAAAGAAAAAAAGATAAATGATAATAGATTGTTAATATCTAATATCAATGCTGAAGAATTCCATGAAGATGCATCTATTACGAAAGCAAAAATTCATTTATTATCATGATATAAGTAAATAAATAAAACATATTTACGAAAATATTCATCATATATATTTAAATAATTCAATTTGTTATTTAATATTTTACGATCGATTTTAATTTAATTCTCATAAATCAATTGATTCTATTATTATTCGAAATTGAAATTTCTAATCTTTTATAAGTAACGATTTTAGAATAAGATATAATTAATTAAAGTTTTAATTTTCTTAAAATTTCTTTTAATTGACTTAAAAAAAGAAAATTTTTTTTTTAAGTCAGAAAATATTTAATATTCTTTTTTCTTTAATTCAATTTAATGCGTTTCAAAAAAAGGTAAAAATAATTTTTCATTACAGAAAATTGCAATTATAATTTTTAATGATATAATAATTATAAATGAATATGTAGAACAATTTTTTCATTTCATTTTTATGAATTTAA